ATTAGCCTGAGCACTGCTTTAGAGCCGTAATTAGGCGCTTCATAGTGACGTCAACAACAACAACGAAATTTCTCGCCATAAAGAAAGAGAGAAAGAGAAGGAGAGAGAGAGAGAGAGTGAGCAATTAATACGAATTCATCTGTTTTAACTGCAGCCATGTTATGAACTCTGCCAAAAATGATTCCCATCTCGTATCAACATCACGCTATATTTCAATTTGTTATCGTTGCGGCCGTTGCTGCCGTTGCTACTGTAGCTACTGTCGCTGCTGCTGCTACTGCCGCTGCTGTTTTTGCTGTTGTATTCATTTAAAAAAAGTAGAAAGGATAGATGTATAGAAAGATGGTTGCAAAAATTATGTTCGTGAAGATATTTTAGCCAGCAAGGATGCATCCAGCCGTTGTGCAGTTCATGTGGAAAGAAAAAGCATATCCATCCAAGGAGGAATAGAAGGGAGAGAGAACCCGCAAAACATGGTTCAACTCAGGAAAATAACTCGATTGAACGGAACAATACGATGAAAATTAATGGAAATAACCCGTAAAAGTATAGGACAGACCGTGCGACACTACGAGCGACAAAAGGCTACGAAACGCGAAATATAACAACATCAACGAGCCAGTTATTACTGAGGCGATAAATTTTTGATGATTTGTGATCCAAGTCGCCTGCGCCATACATTATTCAATGTGTTTGTTTTTGTGTTTGTTTGCTTGTTTGCTTGTTTGTCTGTCTGTTTGTTTGCATGAGTGTTTTTGTTTGTTTGTTTTACATTTGCATTTAATGTAATTAGGTATATAAAATATGTGTGTGTGTGTGTGTGTGTGTGTAAGGATGTGTGTTTATGTGTTTGTGCATGTTTGTATGTTTGTGTGTGTGTGTGTAAATTTCTATATGAGCGATATAAGCGGAACATAAACAGAACCATAGATATAGATAATAGCTACTAGTTGAAGTTGTCGCATGACATATTACCGCCCAATCTCTTATCTATGGACAACATGGTCGTTGTCACGGTGATGATTTAATGACGTCATAAATGTGGCTACTCGTTTATGTAAATGATTGGGGCAATGATGATGATGATGATGATGACGACGGTGGTCGACATTTTGTGACGTCATCATCATCATCATCATCATCGTCATCATCATCACCATCAGAATAATCATCATCACCATCATCATCAACAACATCATCATCAACAACATCGTCATCATCATCATCATCATCACCACCGGGGACGTTATCATTAATCATCATCAACGTTATTAATACAAAGAAAAACATTATTATTTCATAACGATACAAATTAATAAACACACACGCACGCACACGCACAAACACACGCGCGCAAACACGCACACACACACGCACGCACACACAGACACAAGAACATACACGCACACACACACGCACGCGTAAAAGACAAGCGCCAATATATGTTTATGTTTATAATCATTTAAATAATGAATGAAGGAGCAAGGATGAATACATAATTAGGATGTTTGTATGTTTGTATGTATGCTGTATGTGTGTATATTTGTATGTTTTTATGTGTGTGTGTATGTATGCATGTATGCATGTATGTATGTATGAAAGAATGTATGTATATTTTTCTGTCTGTCTATGTATGTATGTGTGTATGTATATATGTTTGTATTTATGTGTGTATGATTGTGTATGAATGTGTATCTATGTTTGTGTGTGTGTATGTATAAAAAATACAAACAAATGTATTTGTATGTACGGGGTTAATTCTTTCGTGTTATCGAAGCATTCATTTGTGTATTACGACATCCAACAGATGGCCTCATAACCTTACGCACGTTATCAACGGTCTGATTGTTTGTTTGTTTGTTTGTCTGTCTGTTTGTTTGTTTGTCTGTTTGTTTGTTTGTATTATCTTTTGTATTGTTTTACTATTAGTATTCATTGAAATTTTGGCGTTTGATTTGTTTGTTTTTAGTTTGTTTGTATCGTTGTTCGTATAGTTTTTAAGATGTTTTTGTATTTTAGTTGG